ATCAAATCCCTATAATCCGAAGAATGTGTTCCTCATTTGCCTTCATTGAAGACAGTATTTAGCCCCTCATTACAAATACCAGCAGTGTTCTTCATCACATCTTCACACCTTCATTGAGCCTAGGTTTGAACTGTTTCAGGGTGTATGGAGACTTCAGTTCACTGTATGCTTTCAGAATTTTCGCTCTTCCGTTCCATTAACACCGTGGTAGTAATGATAGTTTTAATTTAAATTCATGATGTCTTTCTATTCCATCCCTTGTATATGGTACATACACAAAGTTTTAGTTCCCCTTCACACATACAGAAACAACAATTTTGTTTTGTACATTTTTCCTTTGTACACACGCACATAATTTTTCTTCTCTCCTCTTTCTCCTCTCTCATCTCTCCCTTTTCCTTTCTTTCCACTTCTCTTTCTTCCCTTTCTCTCCCATCTCTTTTTCCCTATATTTGTCTCTCACTCTCTCCCCCTTCCTTTCTCCCTCACTCTGTCTCTCTTTCACTTTCTTTTTGTCTCTCTGTTTTCCACAAACTCTCTTCCTCCCTCTCTCGCACTTTCTTTCTCTCTCTGTCTCAGTTTCTCTTTGTCTCTTTATGTATCCTTTATTTTCTTTGTCTTTCCTCTCCCCCTCCACCCCAATCTCTCTCCTCTCTCTCCTTCATTGTTGCCTACTCAGGGATCTGGAGCTATGTGCTACCCGGCTCCAACAACACTGTCTTTTAAGCAAGACCACAAGTTTGAAATAATAAATGAGATTTTAAATGATGTTTGAAGTGGGTGCGAGCAATGTTTTATGCCTTGAGACCGATATTGTTGCAGAAGCCATTGTAAAAAATGACGAAAGGCAAATTAATCACAGATGAGGCTGAAATAGAACCAAATGAAATAAAAAAAATGAACCAACACATATTTTAATGATTTTCTTTTCCTAATTGGGCTTGATATCACCATGTTTTTTACTGGTATATTTTCATTCACTATTGTGACCTTCTTTAAAGAAAAGAAACTAAGAGTGGTCTTTTAAGGGATCTCCCTTTCAGCTACCATGTAAAAAAAAATAATTTCATAGAAGGATAGGAGGAATAATTTTACATATAGTATGGTTTGAGTTTCTAGTAATTTGGGGTACTTTGAAGTTTTTAATTATTTATGACAATATCCCATTCAGTTCCATAGGTATGTTACCATAGCATTTCAGTTTTACTACAGTGAAACCTAGAAGAAAATCTACCTTCAAAAATGGCACATATGGAGGTTAAAATCAGAAGTCAGGAGAGCAGGGTCCTAATCCTTTACTAATTAATTGTTTGATCATGGAGAAACCACTTAGCTCCTCAGCTTCAGTTTCCTCATTGGCAAATGGAGATGATACTAGAATAATACTAGGATGGTAGCATCCTCTAATTCAGCGGTGTCAGATGTGTATCCTAAGGACACATGAGGACCACAACACTTCTGAGTGTGATCCAAACCAGATTAAAATGTAAGTGGGACATATTCAACACAATTAATCAAAATACAATAAAACATAGGTAATGCTGCATTTTAAAACCAAGTCAATGTGGAACCTGCAGGGATCCTTATGTATAGCTTAATAGCCACTGTTCTAATCACAGAATTTCTGTGATGAAAGCCTGCTTTGCAAAACATGAATTATTACATATATATGTGACTTATTATTAAATGGTTGCTATTATTCAATAACTTAGAAGACTTTGCGCAAAAGCTGAAAGACCATCTATGTTAATGGAGATATTGTACAGAGGATAATTGCCAAGGTATGATCAAGATGGCTCCGGGGTCCCTCTGATTCTGAGCTTCTATGATTCTGGGACCTTCTGCAGGGCTATAAATGAGACAAGAGGAGAAAAAGTCTAGAATTTAGGTTTCCCAAATCCAATTCCAGTCCATTCCCCATTTTTATAGAAAGGAATTGGTAGATTTTGATGAAATCTACAGAATGGTATCAAACTCATAGGGACACAGCCATAAAATCAATGAACATCAAAGCCTGAACATCAAAAGTATCCTAGCTACAAATTTTATTTAGGTGAAAACTCCCAAACTATAAAGAATAGCTTATTTCATGACTTTAACATATAAGGTTAAACATACATGTGTTTAACATATGTATACATGCATGTATGTATTGGAGAGAGAGACAGATTGAAAAAGAGACAGAGAAACAGACAGAAACAGAGAAAAGGGTAGAGGGGGTGGGGAGAGAGGAAGAGAGAGAAAACTTCTCCCTACTTCACAGATTTATAAAGATTCTTATAATTAAAAGAGACCTTAGAGGTCATCACATCTAACTAGTTCATTTGGAAGCATATCTACCAGCCAAAGACAAGAATAAATAAACTTCATGACCAGCAGCATTGTTTTCACTTCCAAACATGAAAGACCACCCATTGGTAAAAAACAGTTAATGATTTTGTTATCAGTTTAAACACAAACACAACCTCACTTTATCTCCATTTTCCTGCCCCTTGTGGGAAGGGGGAAGAAGGTAACATTTAAACACTCAGAATAATAACAATTTGTGGTTTGAATGGTAATTTTTTAAATTAAATGTTTAAAGATGTTCTGCTTTCACATTGCCCAAATTCTTTCCTGTATCCCCTTCCCTGATATTCCTCCTCCCCTTCCTTGATAGTTATATAATAATAAATAGTAAAGAATTATTTTAAGAAGAAGAGGAAGACAGGAAAAACTTCAGCAAAAATTACCAAGTAATTGAAAAAATCTGACATCATATGCAATGTTCTGCATCTGTACCCTACCCTGCCCCCACTTCTGCAAAGGAGGTAGACATAGTATCTTCTCACATCTCTACTTTGGGGCTATGCTCATTTGCTACAATTTTGCAATATTCATTTTTGGTTGTTTCGTGTTGTTGTTCTTTCAATTTACGTTGGTGCAGTCATTGTACACATTATATTCTTGGCCCTGCTTATTTCATTTTGCATCAGTTAATGTAAGTTTTTCCATGCTTCTTGGTACTCATCATATTTATTATTTCTTAAAGCATGGTAATATCCCATTATATTATGTACCACAATTTATTTAGCCATTCCCTAATCAATGGACACCTACTTTGTTTCCAGTTCTTTGCTATCATAAAAAAGCTACCATAGATATTTTAGGGTGTGTGTGTGTGTATGTGTGTTTATACATACATACATACATACATACATACATACATATATATGTGGAGAGAGAGAGAGAGAGAGAGAGAGAGAAAGAGAGAGAGAGAGAGAGAGAGAGAGAGAGAGAGAGAGAGAGAGAAGCCTTTTTTTAATGACCTTCTTAGGATATATGCCTAGCAGTGGTATCTCTGCGTCAAGGTGTATGAAGATTTTAGCCACTCTGTTTTCATAATTGATGATGATGATGATGATAATAATAACAACAACAATAATACCTAGCATTTACAGGAAACTTTAAGGTTTGCAGAATTTCTTGCAAATATCTCAGTTTATTCTCACAACTCTAGGAGGTAGGTGCTCTTATCCTAATTTTACAGATAAGGATGCTGAAGTAGAGAGAAGTTAAGTGATTTGCACAGGGTCACACAACTACTAAGTGTCTGAGGCTGGATTTGAATTAGGTGTTTCTGACTCCAAGCCTAGCACTCTATCCATTGCAACATCTAGCCACCTTTTGAAGACTAATGTTGAAAGATATCTGAAGAGATAGGCTAACAATCTTACCTGAAATTCCAAATTAAAAAATGAATGTGACATTCATTTTTTGCTAAGATATTAATTTAGCAAAACATGTTTTCTGAAATGATCAGCATTATTATCATATTGTTTTCTGTTTTCAGGATTTCAATTTCTTTCTTAAAAGTAGGTAGCAATTTTAAGTTCTTTAATTTTAAAAGAGACAATATTTTAGATGGGCTTAGTTTATAAACTAGATTAATTACTTTGGGTACTTCAATTGTTACACTGCCTTTATAAAACATGATTAGTGAAAATACAAATAAAAATTTCCATGATATGTTGCTCTAGTTTTCCCATGTTGCCTTGGTGGCCCTGTCTCCAGAGCAAATTGGAGTAGGGGATGGAGAGGAAATGCACAATACTCCTAACTATGTCCACGGCAGCTCCGGGTAATTTAGTGTGTCTGCCAAACCAAACCAGTGACCTCAATTACTTCAAATGAGCAAGTCACCAAAGGCATGATGGTACAGAGAGGATGCCATCTTGCCAGTATACAGCATACTATGTAATTAGACAAAGAAATCAGTGTAATTTGGTGTAAGCCATTGTTTCCCTTGAGAGCACAAGTTTGAGAATCAATCTGTTGTTAATAGATAATTAACCTTAAACAAAATATTTACTGAAAATGTAAATGAAACACATATATTTACATACAGCTCCACCTATAAACCTCAATAGTATTCTCCAACCAATGTATACGGTGTCTATGGGGAGAATGGGCTTGCACTTAAAATTCGAAGATAAAACCATACATGTATGGAAGCCAAGGAAATTGACAGCTCTGAAACAGCAGACTTTGGTATCCTCTTTCTGTCTTGGGAACTGTCCATAAAAGTTCTTGATAAGTGCAGCTTCTGTAAGTACTGATTCTCTTTGTGCATGAATAATACCTCAGCCCATGTTATATCTCAGCTGGATTACCTCTTTGATGCTCTTTCCAAGCTGCTCCTCCACACAGCTCAGCTGACTCCTAAACAACTGAAACATTAACTCAACGTTCCAGCAAAAGCAGTGTTATGCTCTTAGGAAAAGGCAACAGTCTTTATCCTAAAATTGGCAAACACCTTTCCAACTTTGTTCCTTTGCAAGATTCTTTTTCTCCTCCATCTCTCAGCAGGCATCAACAAGATGCAATGTAGAAAAGTATCTTCTGTCTTTTCTTCTTCTCTTTATCAGCAACAAATAATAATAATTGTTATTTTTATTATTTATCTTTTCAACTCTAGTTGCAATGGAGAGCACGGAGTATAGTCTCCTTATTCCTTCTCAGCAGCAGGTGGCAGTAGAGGACACTCCAGTCATCTCACCGGTCACATAATTTGCCTGTCAACAATAGTGGGGAAGGAGGGGTTGTTCTCTTTAACAGTTCCGAAATCTGTTCTTTTACTTTTCTGTATTCTTCTGAACTTTCTTGGTTCCAAAACTAGATCATCTCTACAAAAGATCCCACCTTAACTTAGGGTTAGTAACCAAATTCTGGGTATAGTCAAGTAAATTGTGTTTGTCCTATAATTGTAGAACAGTTCTGGTGTCCTTAGCTTCCCCATTCTAGAATCTTAAAGCTCTAAAATCCTTCAATTCTTCATATTCACACTAGTAAAACAGCCTTTGTTTTCCATATAAGCCAAGGTTCCATGGCCTGTAGTAAGCAAATGAGTGACTGATGTCTCAAAACAATTCTCAGGCAAATTCAATTTAGTAATTGCTTCTCTTAGAACCCAGAGTCAGATTTATTCATGTCCTAGACAAGTGAAATGTCAAGGCAGACTTTTAACTCAGCAACTTCCTTTTTCCTGGAACCTGAAGCAGACATGCCCCAGACAAGTAAACTGTCAAGGGTCACCCTTCTACATATGTACATGCTATCTTCCCCATTAGAATGTGAACTTCTTGAGGGCAGGGCCTATTTCACTTTTATTTTTGTGACCTCTGAGATTAGCATGGTGCCTGATGCAAAGGGATCACTCAATAGATGTTTGTTGATTTAAGAATTGATTCTAGTGCACTAAGTATCACACAGATGGATTTTGCAAAGATCCCCTCAAAAAGACAGGAATGAGCAACACTAATGGACATGCTCCCTTTAGAACACTGAAACTGTTTTCCATCCAGCAGGCAATAACTCCTTGGGAATCGTAGGTACTTGGTCAATAATTCATTATCAGAAATGTTTTGCATCATGGTTTCACATGATAGGCTCTCTATAACATATTTCCCCACTTACCAAGGAAATGAAATATGCATAAAGCACTGTCAGATAACATGAAAGGGTATGTTGTGAAACTGTGTAAACCAAGAAAACCAGTATTATTTCTCAACCCATGCCATCTTGATCTAGAATTTTAGAAGTCTGAAAACATGGTGTGAAAGGATGGTCACATTGAGCAAGATATTTCTACAAAAGTGGAGTGAGAACTTTAGCTTTTAAAATATTTTTGGTTTTAATTCAGGATCAATGGTTATTTTCATGTTGCTTCCATTTTACGTCTTAAAACATGTTCAAATTCCACTATCTAGGCCAGAAAGAAACATTAAAAGAATGGTGTGTTGATCCATGACCAGGATGTAGAATGTACAAATATGTATATATAGTTTGATTGAATACATATATGTATGTATGCGTTGATTGAAAAGAATCCAATACACTTTTGGCCTCCACCAAAGCTTCCCAAGAAAGCATCTTGGCTGCCTCAGCTAGCAGAAAAAAAGATTCCCACTGCTAATTATTAATCATGTCTGTTTGAAAACAAGATTGGATGTTCTTTCCACTAGAAAGAAACACATCCACTTTGTAAAGAATCCAATCCAAATCCAAATCCAATGAACATTTATCAAAAACCTACTGTGTGTAAGGCACTGTGACGGCTCCTGGGACTATAAATACCTCTCCCACCTCCCCCTATCCAAGACAAATAGTTCCTGCCCTCAAGGAGTTTACATTTTATTCATATCTGACAGAAACACAATCAAATAAAATACATGGTGATTTGAGGAGGAGAGCACTTTCCAACAGACTGAACTCATTTATTAGCCATATTAGAACTGATCCTGAGCATAAGGTTAGTTAGCTCCATTTGACTAGCAGGAAAAGGATTAGTCTAAACTGGCCCTGGGCAAAATTCAACTCAATTCTTTAATATTTAAGAAAGACAGTATGGTAGGTGCTACAGATGTAAAGACAGAAACATAAAAAGCTCTGTCCCTCAAGGAGCTTATATTCTATTGTCAAATACAATACAGACAGAGATGTGTAAATACAAGACACTATGGGAAGGGAGAAAGTATTAACAACTAATAGGATCAGGACTGCTAAAGATTGTAACAGGAACGGGGCCCTGTTCAAGGGAATGGAGATGAGAGATGGTAAGGCAAGATCTGGGAGTGGCTAGGAGACACGTTTGGCTGGAATTCAGAGTGAGTGATGAGGTATAAGATGCAACAAGTTTGGAAAGGTAGGCTAAAGGCAGCCAATTTTTGTTGTTCAGTCTTTTTTCAGTCATGTCTGACTCTTCGTGACCTCATGTGGGATTTTCTTGGCAAAGATACTGGAATGATTTGCCATTTCCTTCTTTAGTTCATCTTACAGATGAGGAAACTGAGGCAATAGGGTTACATGACTTGCCCAGGGTCACATGGCTAGTGTCTGAGGCCAGATTTGAACTCAGGAAGATGAATCTTCTTGACTCCAACCCCACCACTCTATCCACTGTGCCACAACAAAAGACTTTAAATGCCAAACTTAGGCATTTGTCTTTTTTCTTAGGGGCAGTAGGGAGTCTCAGAAGCTCCTTGTTTAGTGAATGATGTGGTCCGATTTGTGCTTTAGAAAGATTATTTTGGCAGTTTTGTGGCAGTTGGATTGAAGAGAGGAGAGACTAGAAGTTGATTACTTTTCTCAAGCTCTCCTGATGGGCTGTAAAGAAGACGTCCTCTTGGCTTTGGCTTCCTGAATACAACACAGCCAACACTATTTTTTTTTCCTAGCCTGAAACAGTGTACTCTTCTACTTTGTGGAAGTTAAACTAGGATTTCACAAATGCCTCAGATCAAAAGGGAGCATTCTACCTCATCATTTATATTAAATCAGTGTGAATTCATTTCAAATGTCAAATTCAATTTAGATAAAATTAGTTTGGAAAATAGCTGTCTCATTAAGAAAGAGGTTAATGAGGAAAATATAATCCTCTCTTGAAAGCCATTGGAATCCAAAGCCACATTTGCATATGTGGTATCTGAAAAAAGTCCAAGGAATTTTGTTTTTGGTTTTTTAAATTGTTTATAATGTATTCTCTTTTCATTCCATCTACAACAATTCCCAGAAATGATGGAATCAAAAGGCAGAAAAACATAAATATGTTTGGAGCTCTTATTCAATTGCCCCTTGCAACATTAGGCATTCAAAGGGGAACTGTTTATAAAGCAGGTGATTATGGGTACAATGGAGAAGGACCTTATTAAACAAACAAAAAGCCCCAAACCTAACCAACTGAGTGATAGCGTCAAAAAGTCTGTCACATCAAGACCCCTGGTGCCAATTTTTACAACATAATTCCAACAACAATGAAACATTCATTTCCATGGTTATGTTGTTGATAATCCAGGCTTTAGGACATAAAACATATTGGGTAATTTCTTTGATTTTGTTATTTTCAATGAATCAATTACCACACTACTAAACTTTTAAAAAATATCATGACTTTCTAATGAACTTTCAATATAAACTCACTCTGTGAAAATCACTGACTATGCTGCCCCATAAAGGAAAGTTCCACAAATTTGGAGTCAGAGGTCTTGGGTCTGGACCCCAGCTCTGTCATTTATTACCTGAATGACCTTGGATAAGTTGACTCCTATGGACCTCCATTTCTTTATCCATTAGATGAGGGAGAATTGGACTAAAAATGACCTCAAAGATACCATTCAGCTCTAAATCTATGATTCTTATTCAGGAAACAATTTTCTCATCTTTAAGAACATTTCTTTGTATTGCAGGTTAAAGAAGTAGGTCAAGTCAGGAAGGAAACTGGATTTTAAAAAAACAAAACACATGAAATTTCTTTCCTTCCCATGGGGTTGAGCAGAGAGCTCATAACATAGTGTTGCATACAGGACAGAGAAGCACATTCAATAAATCAATACAGCACTAGAATCTCTTAGAGTTTAAGTGACTGCTGGATTGAGACATGCTTATTATGTCTTCAGGCTGCAAGGTACCACTTAGTTCATTATCATGTTGTTGCCTTATTATAAGAATAACAAAGCTTATATTCACACTTATACTTACATGGAACTTTAGGAAGAATTATCTCGTTTATACCAAATGTTACTGTTATTTAATGGTAATAAGAAGGATTACTTTAAACTGCCACTTTAATGTCCATGAATAACCTCCTACATCTGTCCCCATCTGGAAGATTAAAAATGAAAACAGTATTAGGTAACTTAATAATGGCTTCTCCTAAAATTTCTATTTGTTTTTTTTAATCCCTCCAGCCACAGATGATTTAAAGTTCTATAAATCTATGTTAACCAACTCCTTTTTACTGTTCATAAAGGGGAGTTGGTTTATTTTTATAGAGGATATGTAGATTTGGCAGCCATGGGTAGTGAAGAAGAGGAATAGGAAAAGGCTTACTTTCTAATAATGCTATGACTCTGAAGAATGAAGCTGATAAAAAAGGACTCAGAAAAATTTTTTTTAATTTGACAAAAATTTATTTTTCTTCTCACTTCCCCCCTTCAATTAAGGGAAAAAAACAGCAAAAGAAAAACAAAACACTTGTAACAAATATACACACTTGAGCAAAATAAATTCCTGTATTGGCTATGTCCAAAAATATATGTCTCATTTGGCATCTTGAATCTATCATCTCTCTTTCAGTTGGTGAGAATAATGATTTATTTAGATTTATTTATATATTATACATATTATATATTTATATTTATTTATAGAATCATCATTGGTCATTACATTGATCAGAGGTCCCAAATCTTTCAAAGTTGTTTGTCTTTACAATGTTGTTGTTGTTATATACGTTCTTCTCCTAGTTTTGCTTACTTCATTCTGCATCAGTTCACATAAGTCTTCCCAGAGTTCTCTAAAACCATCCCTTTAAAAATTCTCTTACAGCAAGTTTCTTGATAAAGGTCTCATTTCTCGAAAACATAGAGAACAGAGTCAAATTTATAACAATTCAAGTCATTCTCCAATTGATAAATTGTCAAAGGACATGAACAGGCAGTTTTCAGAAGAAGAAATCAAAGCTATCTATAGCCACAAGGAAAAATGCTCTAAATCACTACTGATTAGAGAAATGCAAATTAAAACAACTCTCAGGTACCATTTTATACTTATCAGATTGGCTAATGTGACATAAAAGGAAAATGACAAATACTGGAGGAGATGAAGAAAAATAGAGACACAGTCTGGGAGTCAAGATGACGGAGGAAGAAGTAAGTTGCTCTCACTCTCCTTTGTTTCTCTGAAAGTCCAGAAAATATCAACCCAGGAAAAACCCTGCGCCAGCAAAAAGACAGGGCACCAGCAGTCTTGTAGCCCAGGAAGCTTGGGGGGATTAACGAGAAAGGCCCCTCTCACTCTAGGGGAGGGGGAGCAGTACAGGACTGGAGACCTCAGCATATCAGGGGGAGATCCTGAGACCCAGGTTGGTGGAGCAGGCAAGTGCCAACACCAGGACCCCCTCACCCTCCAGAGCCTTAATACAGGCAGGGGAATCAGTAGACACCAGCTCAGACAACCCTCATGGGTGACAGCATTCTCCAGCAGTGAAATCACCTAGTGCCTCAACACAACTCTGGGAAGCACAACTCCAGAAGGCAAAGCTCCAGGCTGACAGACATCCACTAGCAGTGAAACATCCCTGTGTAAGGCCTGGGCAAGCAGAAGCCAAACATTCAAGTGCAAAGCCCAGGTGAGCAGGAAAAGAAACTCGGGTAAGTTCCCCCTTCACTCCAGCAGGAGAACTTAGCTTTTTTTTTAAGTCATGAAATAGGCAAACACCATGAACGAAAAACAGAAATGGAAAATGATCATAGATTCTTATTTTGGGGAAAGGGAAGATCAAGGCACAAATTCAGAAGAGGACAACATTGTCAATATACCCACATCTGAAACCTCAAAGGGGAATATGAACTGGTTTCAAGCCCAAAAAGCCTTCTTGGGGATTTTAAAAGTCAAATAAGAGATGTTAGAAGAAAAATTGGGAAAAGAAATGAGAGGTATGCCAGAGAGAGCCAATAGCTTGGAAAAGGAAAGACAAAAATTAACTGTAGAAAACAAGTCCTCAAAAAGTAGAATTGGCCAAATGGAAAAGGAGGCACAAAAACTCCCTGAAGAGAACTCCTTAAAAAGTAAAATGGGCCAAATGGAAAAGGAGTTACAAAATCTAATAGAAGAAAAATAGGGAAACAAATGCAGTATTTGTGGAGTTGTGAACTGATGTAACCAGTCTGGAGTGCAATTTGGACCTATGCCCAAAGGGCTATCAAACTGTGCATAGCCTTTGACCCAGCAATACCACTACTAGATTGGTACCCCAAAAAGATCAAAAGAAAAGGAAAAGGACCCATATGTACAAAAATATTTCTAGCAGCTCTTTTTGTGGTGGCAAAGAATTGGAAATTGAGGGGATGCCCACCAATGACCAAGTTGTGGTATATAAATGTGATGGAATACTATTATGCTGTAAGAAATGACAAGCGGGATACTTTCAGAAAAACCTTGGAAAGACTTATATGAACCAATGCAAAGTGAAGTGAGCAGAACCAGAAGAACATTGTACACAGTAACAGCAATTTTTTATGATGATAAATTCAACTGTAAATGACTTATTCTCAGCAATACAATTTTGAAGGACTTATAATGAAAATTGCTACCCACCTGCAGAGAAAGAACTGATGTAATCTGAATGCAGATTGAAACATACCTTTCTTTATTATTCTTGGGTTTTGCTTGTTGTTTGTTATTTTTTTTGGTTCGGTTTACATTCTCCTTCACAACATGGCTAATATGGAAATGTTTTGAGTGACTGCACAATTATAATCTATATCAAATTGCATGCCTTCTCAAAGAGAGGGGAGTGGAGAGAGGGAGCGTGTTTTGAATTCAAAATTTAAAAAAATGTAAGTTTCCCACAAAATTTTTGTTTAGATGTAATTGAGAAAAATAAAATTAAAATTAAATAAATTACTTCATCTATTAAAAAATAACATCCCTTTTGTCATTTCTTATGGTACAATAGTATTTGTTCCATTTTATTCCTATACCATAATTTTTTCAGCCATTCCCCCATAAATGGGCACCTCCTTACTTTCCAGTTTAGAGCTATTTATGAAAAGAGCTGTTATAAATATGTTTGTACATATTCATCCTTTTCCTCTTTCTTTGATCTCTTTGGGGGGCATAAACCTAGCAGTGATATCAAAGGCATATCAAAGGATATGCACAGTTTAGTAACTTTTGGGTCATAGTTCCATATTGCTTTCTAGAAAGACTGAACCAATTAAAACTTTACCATGGGGCATTAATGTGCCTGTTTTCCTGCAGCTTGACCCCACCCCAACATGACAGGACTCAGTTTCCCATAATACCCTGACCTCAAGGCACAGGACCAGTTGGAGGGAGAGAAGAGATTTCTAGGGTCAAGAAGTAAGCAAGTACATGGGAATATCAGCTGAAACAATCTGGTTATGCTTTATAGAGTGCTGGTGCTGCAGGGCTGAATTGGAAATAGATAGATCTCTTCAACGAAGTTCTCCAGCTCCATATAGGCTTTCCCTTTTGGAGTGTTGTGGAGTGTTTTAGTTTTTTTGTTTTGTTTTAATGCAGAGACTGGTCCTATTAGACAATGGGGAAGAAGTTCTATTGCCTTGCTAATTGGGACTCAGAGACCAGGTAGCCAATCTTCTTGTAATGAGGCTCTCTCCCTTTAGGTTGTTCCTCAGATAAGGAACACATAGTCACAGGGCCATTAATTCAAGTCTTTTCAATTTCATACTGTCTTCCAGGGCTCTTGATCTGCTGACATATTCTTGAAGAACCCAGGGTGAAATATTGACCATAGAGAAGAAATGAGGTAATACACATCTTATGGGATTATGGGCATGCAATTTTGCAAATGCTCTGAGACAAGGTCAATGTGTAGGTTAATTTTGCTTAACTTTTTTTTTAAATAAAGGAATGTTTACACCCATGAGGGAGGTATATATTCAGGAGTGATTATGTTGGGAAAACAAAAGATTTCAATGAAACTTTTTAACATCATAGGCTATTATGTATTGGGTAACCTACAGCAGCCATATTAATGGAGTGCCAATCTCTTTCTGTTATGGAAGGTGTTATTACATACTAAGGGATATCAAAGCTTAGTGGAAAGAGCATTGGATTTGGAATTGGAGGTGGAACCATAACTAGCAGCTTTCTCACCTAGGACAACCATCATAAAATGTACACTTAAGTCAACTTAAGACAAATTCATTTGAGAGGCTGAGAGACCTTGGGACACAAGGTCCTGATGGGGAAAATACCTTGAGACTCTCTAAGAAAGATGCTGGAGAGGTTGGATGGGGTAGAGAGGGAGCAGAACAGGGTGGGGTGACCCAGGCCTTGCTTTAGAATGTAGAAGCCATCGAAAATGCTTATTATCCTTCAGGAGCAGAGAGACAATTAAACATTGTACCTAGTTAGCAGGAATAATTAGTTAAAATAGAAAGTTATCAGATAGCCTTTTACCTCCCAAGGCACATGCCAAGTGTCATACATATCTCTTGACAGATATTAGCTACTTTGTGATTAACCTATTGGCCATGGAGATGATTCTCTCGGGTGAGGCCATCTGGTAGTTTTCTTTTTTAACTAGCTGTTCTTAGTAACTAAGTGCTAAGCTAAGTTGTTTCTACACTGCTGTCCACTGTCAGCTTCCTCTAAATTTTGGTGCCTCATCGCACCTCAGTTCTGGTTCTGATGGGAGGACCTAGATTTGAATATTAGATATGGTCTTTATGAGCTATGCTTGTTGTTGTTGTCCCACGGACCATAGCACTCTAAGCCCTTCTGTCTTCCACTATCTTTTGAAATCTGTCCAGGTGCATGTTTGTATGACCTGTGTTACCTTGGTCAATTTATTCACCTCTATGATTCTTAGTTTTTTTAGCTAAAAAAAGAGAGAGGTTGAATTAGATGATCTCTAACATGCCTTTCCAGTCTAAATTCTATAATCCTATACATTCCCTGTTATTTGTCCAATGAACGGCCAGTATTTAGGGGAAAAAATTGGGATGGGAACAGTCAGTGTGTGTGGGGGGGGTGTTTTGTGAGAAGACAGATGTACAATTATTGGAGCTTTTGAAATGGTCCAGGCATTCTGGATTTCAATTTGGAATTATGCCAGAAAAGTGACTTAACTGGCCATATCTTTTGATCCAGAATCCCTATCTACTAGGCAGATACCCAAAGGAAGTCAAAGGTCCACATATGCCAAATTATTCATAGTAGCATTCTTTGTCATAGCAAAGAAACAGAGCTGATACCTATTGATTTGGGAATATGTAAAAGAAACACTCGACCTAAGGCTTATTAATATAACAGAATATTATTATATAGTAATATATGATGAATATGAGGAATTCAGAGAAATATGAGATTTAAATGAATTGATGCAGAGTGAAATAAGTAGAACCATAAGAACAATATATATATGTGTGTATACACATATATTTATGTTGCACATACATACATATATATGATCACAACAATGTAAATAAAAAGATCACTAAAAAGAAGTTAGTCTCTAGGGAATTGAAAAAGCAGTGAAGTTCAGAAGATGCAAACCAGGATAATTTTGTTACTAGAATATTAAATATACACTTTAAAAAACAAAGGAGTTTAGTTTCATATACAGACTTCCTTTTTGTTCTTTGTACACTAAAATGTTCGAGTTGACTGACGTTTGTAAAATTTGTAAATAAAAACAAAATTTAAATCAAATAAAACAATGAAGGTCCTGGAGAACAGATAATGAAATATACCTCCTCCCTGACTGCATAGAGGTGAGAGACTATATAATTTCAAAATAGGTCATAATATTGGATCCTTTTGCTTAATTGGTTTTGTTTTTGTTGTTATTGTTTGGAAAGCTTGGATATAGAATAGGGAGAGAAAGAAAAAAGACACCAATAAAATGTATTTTATAAAAAGAAAAGGAAGATAGGTTAATCCAAGAGAGGAGAACATGGGGCAATGGGCAAAATTTGCCAAAAGACAACTGTCATCTCCATATAAGGAAAATTCTTGTAACAGAGCTGTCAGAAAGTGAAATTGGGTTGCCTTAGGTTCCCTTATTAGGGATCTTTAGACAAAGGTGGAGATGACTGCTTCTTGGAGAGGAGATTCTTTTTTTAGGTAGGGGTTGGGCTTGATGACCTCTGAGGTCTCTTCAAGTTATGAAATTTTGTGATTCTGGGTTTTTTCTTTCTAGAGAGCTATTCCCAGCTAAGGAAAATACTCAGTGTCCCAACAAGATATTTTGTGGTTGGGGTTGGTTGGGCAGGGTGGTGAGGGGTAGCTTTGCCATAATAATATCAGCAATAAATTCTTAAATGTTTATTGTCTCTAAGATTTCATCTATCTCCTGCCACCAGTGCCAGTCATAATCTACCCACACTTTCTTATGTGCTATGGTTCTTGTCCACTTCTCATAAATCTTTTTTTCTTTCCATAAATCTAACTAACATGTGAGAGGTCTACCTCTCAATTTCTTAAACTTTAATAGATGCTTGGGAAATACTTAGGCTATCCTCCCTCATTTTTTGTTGCAAGATCAGCTCCTTTTTTGATAGAGAGATAGATAGAGAGATAGAAATATAGAGAGATAGCTCATTCAAGAACTTATCATGAGGCACTGTGCTAAATGCTGAGGATACAAGTATAAACAAGCAAGACAATCTCTGCCCTTTAGGAGTTTACATTCTTATAGGGGAAGATAACACTTGAAAGGATGCTATGAAGAAAAAAGGAAGAAGGAGAAAGAGAAAGGGAGGATAGTAGTCCTGTGTGGTGAGTGTGAGCTCAACTATTAGATCCCAGGGACCCAGATTCAGTTTATGTTAGGATCAGCCAGTAGGACAATTATGAAGAGACAGTAAGGAAAGGTGTTAATGGAGGTCTGGGGCCCAGAAAGACAAGGCAAAAGCTCACCTATTAGAGCCAAGGGACCCAGACACAAAGTCCTTTGGTTGTGCTTTGCTTTGTGTTTGTCTTTTATGTCACTTCTTACACACATCTCACTATCGGTGATGTGCTACAGCTATTTTAGATCCACCATTCATCTCTCCATTGCCCTGAGGGTTATTCACAATTTTGATTCTTCAGAGATACAGTGTTGCATAACTATATGCATTGTCTCCTAATATTAGAATGTGAACCCCTTGAGAGCAGGGCTGTCTTGCTTTTTTGTTTCCTTAACATTCAACACAGAGCTTTGCAAAAAAGTAAGTTCTTAGCAAGTGTTTTTGCATTCATTCATTCATTGAAGTCACATGGCATAACAGAGAGAATAATGGTTTTGACAATTGAATCCTTGTGTCAGGGAGCAGCTTGGGATCATTGAAAGTATTGCACAATTTTCCAAGTGCTATCTAGCCTACCTCTGCTATAGATAATAACCCTAATGAATTTCAATTCAACTTCATATGTAATCCTATCTTTTCTGCTCTACTTTGTATATGAAAATGTTCTCACTTTTGGAGGGGAGCGGTGTTCATTAAATTAAGAATAGAAAAAAAATCACTTACACTTTCTGGGCCTCAGTTGCCTTATCTGTAAAATAAGGTGTTGGATTAGGTAACTGCTAAAATCCCTCTAAATTGAGAATCCTATTTTAATGAAAGTGCAGCTGTCCAGGAGATAGTCATTAGCACCCTTTGCTCCCTACCCATTTAGTCTCTGGAGATTTAATCAGCTACCCCTTGCTACAATAATTAGCTTGCTTTTTAGCCTAGGAGCAATATAATGGCTCCTCATTGTCCACAGGGTTTCCTCTACTACTTAGTAGAGTTTATATAGTTTATCTTAGTTAGGACTAAACAAGTGATAGGATCATAAAATGGATACTTTTGATTATGTGAAATTTAAAACCTTGTGCACAAATTTAATGTAGTAAAAATTAGAAGGGAAAGAGTAACTGGGGAAAAAAATCTTTGCAACAAATTTCTTTGATAAAGGGCTCATTTTCAAGATATAAAAGTACTGATTCAAATTTATAAGACCAAGAGACATTTCCCAGCTGATCAAAGGTCAAAGAATATGAATAGATTTCAGAAGAAAAAAATCCAAGCTACCAACAATCATATGAAAAATGCAATAAATTCCTAATAGTTAAAGAAATGCAAATTAAATTAACTTCATGGTTCTATCTCATACTTATTAGACTGGCCAAGTTGAATAAGAGAGAAAATTGTCAAATGTTAGAGGGACTGTGGGAAAAAGGTACACTAGTTCTCTGTTGGTGAACCTGTGAATTGGTCTAGACATTCTGAAAAGCAATTTAGAACTATGTCCAGAAATTTAACACTCTGTGCATGACTTTTGACCCAGACTGAAGAAATCAAAGAAAGAGGAAAAGGATTTATGTGCATAAAAATCTTTCTAACAGCTCTTTTTGTAGTAGCTCAAAATTGGAAACTAAGGGATGCCCTCCTATTGGGAGTGGTTAAACAAATTGTGGTATGTGAACGTAAGGGAGTATTATTATGCCATTTGAATTGGAAAATTGAGGAAACCAAGATACCTTTATGAACTGATGTAGAGCAATGTGAGCAAAGCTAAGAGAATGATTTACTACAGAGAACACCATAGAGAAAAATAACCTTGAAAGACTTTGGAACTCCAATCAATACAAGTATAAACTGAAAGAATAAAGATGATACATATCACTCACCTCCTGACAGAGGGGTGATGAACTTAAAATGCAAAAAATGATAAATATTTTTGGATGTGTCTAATGTGAGAATGTATTTCTGCCAGACTGTGTAGATATATATTCAAGTACTTTTCTTTCTATTAAAAAAATCGCTTAGTCGGGGCTAGAGACACAGATTAATTTTAAAAATCTTGAAAAATAAAAATTGAAAATAAAATTAAAAATAAAAAATTGAAAAACAAAAATAATCAAATAAAAGTTAGGAAAACAACCAAAATTACTCAAAGCCCCATGGAAAATTCCCAACATTTAGGCAGAGGTTTGTCTTTCTGCCTTAATTTAAATTTATGTTTAACTCTAGATAACCCTTGGCCTCTTCATGGTTGAGGCAAAAGTTGTGGTCATTGGAAACATTTGTATAAAGAAGAAAGCAGAGTATGTTAGAGTTATCTATTAAAGGACAGACACCAGGAGACGAAGTTGGGGAAAAAACAAACCTTTTCTTGGAAAGTCCCTCAGTCCTTGAAGAGATAGGTAAACTTGATGTTTTTGCCCAGAGTCTTCTGTTTCAGATGTCTACCTAAACAATGGTCCTCCTTGATCACCCTCTTCTCTGTAGCAGCTCAGTCTGACTTTTTCCTTCTCCTTTTTCCTGTTGTCCCAGGGCCACTTATGCTTGTTAGGTCCTGAAAGAGGTTAGAGAGCCTGATGCTATTCCTGCTACTACTGAGCTATTGAGGTTGCCATATCTTGGGTCTCTCTTAGACTGTCTCCTTAAGAACTCTGAGATATTTCTCTTTAAGAAGTCAACTGTATCTTCTAGCTCAAAGACCTCAGTAGTCCCTAAATGCCCCTCCTGGCTGAGAGGGAATGCTTCTACCTGTGTGAAGTATGAGTCCTAAAATGCCAATCACTTCTCAAAATAGCACTAAGATTTTTTTTCTCAACTCTTGCTTATTTCTCACTTACATTTTCATTAAGAATGCCTTCCAAAATATGTAGATACTTTTAATAAATATTTTATATAGGTAAGATTTTCTTCTTAGACACTTTTTTTGGGACAATGCTATCTGTAATTTTTTGCCCCAAGATGTTAGGATCTTCTCTTCTTTGTGATAGCATGAAAATATCCAAACGTATTTTAAATACTGTTTCCCCTAGTATGGATTTCTTTTGCAAGTATTTGGTCAGGTTTGGTCCCTTCTGGTGATTTCATTTTTTCTTTAAATTACATTTTAGGGGCAGAGTTAAGATGGCAGACTGAAAGGTAGCATTTCACCTCAGCTTCTCTCCAAACTCCTCCACAACAACCTACAAAATGTGCCAGACTGAATTTAGGTCAGGGAAGTCAAGAAAAAGTCAAGACCAACAAGGATTCATAGAAGAGTTAAAGAAATAGATATAAAAGAACAAAAAAAGGTTTTAGAACTCAAATAAGAGTGTTAGAGAATAAACTGAGAAAAGAAATGAGAGCTATGCAAGAAAATTATGAAAGAGAAGTAATACCTTGGTAAAAGAGGTATGGAGCCTCATTGAATTAAAGAACTCCTTAAAAATTAGAATTGGCTAAGTGGAAGCTAATGACTCCATAAGGCATTAAGAAACAATAAAACAAAATAAAAAAACTGAAAAAAAACAGAAGAAAATATTAAATGTCTCAGGAAAAACAACTGACTTGGAACTGACTTGATCAAGGAGAGATAATTTAAGAGTCACTAGAGTAACTGAAAGCCACAAACAAACAAACAAAAAAAAGAACTTAGACATCATATTTTAAGAAATTATAAAAGAAAACTCTCCAGATTTCTTATAACCAGAGGGCAAAGTAGAAATTAAAAAAAAAACTATCTTAAGCAAAGCAAAAGCAAAAAATATATATAGACCTAATTAAAAGAGAGAAACAGGGAAACCACATTTTACTAAAAGGTAGTATCATAGACAATTAATTCATTTCAATACTCAATATATATGCACCAAACATTATATTATCCAAATTCTTGAAGGAAAAGTTAAATGAGAAAATAGTGAGACTATAATAGTGGAAGATAAATCTCATCATTAAATAAATAAGAAATAAGTTATGGAGATGAATGTAATTTTAGAAATGTTACATATACTAGACCTCTGGAGAATATTGAATGGGAAGAGAAAGGAGTATACCTGCTTCTCAGCTATATGCATGGCACCTTCACAAAAACTGACCATATAGTGGGGCAAAAAAACTTAACAAACAAATGCAGAAAAGCAAAAATATTAAATACCTCTTTTCCTGATCATATTGTAATAAATATTATATTTAATAAAGGGTCTCTGAAACATAGATTAAAAATTAATTGGAAATTAGATGACCTCATCCTAAAAATAAATAGGTCGGGCAGGTAGGTGGTACAGTGGATAGAGCACTGGCCCTGAAGTCAGGAGGACCTGAGTTCAAATCCAGCCTCAGACCAAGCTCTTGACACTGACTAGCTGTGTGACCCTGGGCAAGTCACTTAACCCCAATTGCCTAAAAAAATAAATAAATAAAAATAATTAGGTCAAAAAACAAATCATAGAAACAAAAAATAATGTCATTAAAGGTAATGACAACAATGAGACAACAACAAAACAAAGTTTGTGAGATGCATTCAAAACAATACTTAGGGGAAAATTTATATCACTAAATGCTTACATTAATAAAAAAAGAGAAAGAACAAATCAACAAATTGGGCATGCATGTATTAAAAAACTAGAAAAAGAACATTTAAAATTCCCAACAAAACAGAAAAATGGAAATATTGAAAATCAAAGGAGAGATTAATAAAAATGAAAGTTAAAAAACTGAACTAACAAATAAAACTGGGAACTGGTTTTACAAAAAAGAAGTCTATAAAATAGATCAACTGCTGGCTAATTTGATTTAAATAAAAAAAATCAAATTACCAGTTTCACAGGGAAAAAAGGGAATTAACCAATAAAGGTGAAATAAAAGCAATTATTAGGAGATATTTTGCCTAACTATAGGCCAATAAAAGTGACAATATAAATTAAATAGATGAATATTTATAAAAATATAAATTGCACAGATAACAGAATAGGGAATAGAATACTAAGCCATAAATGAGCTTCCTAAGAAACCTTAATAACAGATAGATTTATGAGTGAATTTTATTAAACATTTAAAGAACAACCAATTCTAATAGTACATAAATTGCTTGAAAAGATAGGTAAAGGAGTCCTACCAGATTTCTTCTATGACATAAATAGAGTGTTGATACCTAAATCACCGGAGAGAAAGAGAAAGAAAACTATAGACCAAGTTCCCTGATGAATATTGATGCAAAAATTATCAGAAAACCAAATCACAGTATCAAAAATTAAAAGGGTGAATATGCCACTAATGAAGATGAAATTAAAGCAATTATTAGGAGTTGTTTTGCCCAATTATATGCCAATAAATTTAACAACTTAAGCGAAATGGAAGAATACCTACAAAAATATAAATTGCCCAGATTAACAGAAGAGAAAATAGAATATCTAGGTAAACCTATTTTAGAAAAAAGAAATTGAATAGACCATAAATGAGCTTCCAAAAAAAAAAAAAAGGCATCAGGACCAGATGGATTTACAAGTGAGTTCTACCAAACATTTAAAGATCAACTAATTTCAATGTTAAATGAATTATTTGAAATAATAGGCAAAGGAGTCCTGTCAAACTCCTTTTATGAAACAAATATGGTGCTGATACCTAAACTAGGAAGAGCAAAAACAGAGAAAGAAAATTTTGGATCAATTTCACTAATAAATATTGATGCAAAAATCCTAAATAAAATACTAGCTAGGAGACTATAGCAATATATCACAAAGATTATACATTGTGACCAAATAGGATTTATACCAGGAATGCAGGGCTGGTTCAATATTATGGAAAAGCAATAACATAATTGGTCATATCAATAACAAAAGCATCAAAATTATATTATTATATCAATAGATGCAGAAAAGGCTTTTGACAAAATATAACACTTATTCCTTTTAAAAACACTAGAAAGCATAGGTATAAATGGGTTTTTCCTTAAAATTATAAAAAGAATCTAACTAAAGCCATCAGCAAGCATTATATGTAACAGAGATAAGTTAGACGCCTTCCCAGTTAGATCAGGAATGAAACAAGGATGCCCATTATCACCAGTATTCTTCAATATTGTACTAGAAATGCTAGCAACAACAATAAGAGAAGAAAAAGAAATGGAAGGAATCAAATGGGCAATGAGGGAATGAAACTATTTCTTTTTGCAGATGATATGATAGTATTCTTGGAAAATCCTGGAGATTCAACTAAAAATTGTTTCAACTCAGAACTTAAAATACAACAAAAATAACTAAAATAAATATAAGATTGACAAAAAGATAATCACCTGTAAAAGACTTAGTAATTGATCAACACAATGACTTACCACAATTCCAAAGGACTCATGATGAAAATTACTATCCATCTTCAGAGAGAAAACTGATGGATTCAGAGTACAGAATGAAGCATATTTTTTTCCTTTTTCTTTTTCTTGTTTTATTTTCCCCATAACATAGCTATTGTGGAAAATTGTTTTTCTTGATTTCATATTTGCAATGGGTTTAGTATTTCTTGCCTTCTCAATGGATGACAGAGGAGATAGGTGGAGGGAGAGAATTTGGAACAGAAAATAAAATAAAATTGAATTTAAAAAATTAAGAAAATTATCATTTAAACAAAAATTACACTTTTACTTCCTCATATAGTATTTAGAGTAGAAAAGCAATTGTTCTACTTTCATCTATGGTGAGAATAAAATATAATTGAAATGCTTAAAAATATGTTATTTTACACTATTTTTCTTCTATTTTTAGTTTTATTTATAAGTGCTCTTGGGATGATAAGATTTAGTGGAGTCTTATGATATGGTTTTTTTCTGGTTTATTTTCCCATCATCTTCTTCTACTTTAGAAGGTGGTACTTTGGAAAATGGGTTCTCGAAGAGGACCAAAATGACATCACTATGCTAGAGTCAAGTTATAGTGTGACTCTGGCTGATCAGAACAATACAAGTTCAGAATGTTCTACCACAGGGGAAAATGAGTGATACAGTGGGAAGCATGTTGCCTCTGGAGTTAGTGGACCTGGGTTCAAATCCTGTCTTTGATACTTACTAGTTCTGTGACTTTGGGCAAGTCCTTATACTTAGCTGGGCTTCAGTCTCCTCATTTGCAAAATGAGGAAGTTGAACAACATAGTCCCTGACATCTCTTCCAACTGCAATATGGATTCCATCTCTTCCATTGCAATATGCAATGATCCTAGCATTTCCTTGAGTAATCTGTACACTTCTGATTAATCTATAAACCTTTGATCTCTTTCATTTTTTAATCCCCAAACTAGTTTCCAGGTATGTTGTTTACATAAACAAAAAAATAAGAAGGGAAACAGTTAAATGGGGGGAGGGCAGTGATTTTTGCAGCTAGCTTTTCTATCAAAAGGGTCATATCCAAACATTGGGTTATATATTGAATTGGGTCATGGTGTTTTGTCAAGTTCTTTAAATACTTTCTTTACTTCTTCACTCTCTGCAGCAGTTAACACTTCAGCTGCGATTACCTTCATAATTGTTGTTGCTAAAGTTCTTCATGAATATTCTAAAACCATGATTCTTAGCAGCCTTTCCCCCCCT